CATTTAAATTTAGCTTAATTAGTTTAATAATTGGAGGTTTTTTTTGTGTAGTTTTGGTAATGGTACTGTTTTTTTAATGTGAAAATGGTACAAAAAAACAAAAAATGTTTTAATTTTTTTACATCTTTGTAATTTCTTCCTTTCCTCACTAAACATCTCAAGGATTATTTAAAATCTCCTTTCCTTTGGTCAGCTGCTGATGACTGGCTGTTGGAGGCTATGTTTGTGTCCAGGTGTAACTCGTCTGACTCTGTGTCCAACAATAGAACTGACCAGTCGTGTGGAAGAGATGCGGTCACGCGGCGCAGCAGGGACGTATTAAGCGTGGCTTCGGGCTCGAGGAGGGGATGACRGAAGAGTCCGAACAGAACTCGCTGGTCCCCCCCTGCAGAGGTAAGAGCCGACGCGTTCAAACTAATCTGTTTTAATGTGAAGGTGTAAGGATTATTTTATTTGTCTTGCTTTGCTGTTATGATGCTGGTGAAAAAGGTGCTAAGCCCCGCCCCCTTTAATGCTGCCTAATGCTGAAAGCAGCAGCAGCATTCCTGCCACCCTCTCTCTGTTTGTTCCACACTTTCAGCCAAACTGACCACATCCATTAAAGCTCATCCGATCCCTCTGTGAGCGCCGTCACTGCGGGAATTCTTTCTGGGTTAAAGCTGCTGCTTTTCCACAGATATTCATTCCCCCTCTCTCTTTCATACTTTCTCATTTTTCCACATTTTGACGTCAGCTTCTCCGTCTGATGACAGAAGCACCGACCACAGAGGGCCTCCTCCTCCTCCTCCTCCTTTAAATCTGAGCTGAGATAAAATAACTATATTTTTTGTGTGTGTCTGTCATTCATGCTCATACGGAAACAAAAAGAGTTTAAAGTCAAGGTCAAGCTTGCAAAACTCCCCTCCCAAAAAAAAAAGAAAACAAAGGATGTCAGCTGGTCTGTTTGAACAGAAATAGCCTGAGGAATGTTGGACGCAGCTCGTCGGTTTGGAGACGAGGTGAGCCGCAGCCCGCTGCACACCTGTTCAAGAGCTCGCCTTTATTGTTCTTAAAAATAGCTCTTTTGCTCCGCCCCCTGCCCCGCCCACCCCTCTGCTCTGCTACAACTGCCTTTTAATGATCCGGTGACCTTGATCTGAAACAGGAATAACTTTTTTTAAAAAAAGAAGAAAAAAAAGAGTTTGTTAATGCTGCTGTGGTCTGTGATCAGATCTGAAACTAAACCAAGCAAAGTAAAAAGTGGTTTTAATATGAAATGTTAATTTAGCAAAATGTGCTTTTATTTATTCATCTAATCTTGTGCTCTTTCCTAAATCTAACAGGGAATGAAAAGCATTAAAGTTTTGTTTAATTCAGTTTTTTTTTAACTTTTGCACTTTTGTTTTCTAAATCCAGAGTTGGGTAACTATTATATTTACTTGAGTAACTTCATGGAAAGAATGTATTTTTAGGAGTACTTTTATAATAAAGTATCTCTC